TGAGTTGGCCTAGGGCCCCGCCTCCCCAGAGCCACCTGCGCCTGCGCAGTGTGAGCTACCCCCCCCCAAGCAGGCCCATCTCTGCGCATGCGCGCCTTCACTACCTGAGCCTGGCTGCACAGCCCCGCCCTCCTGCGGTTTCTCTGCTGCGCCGGTTTTGCTTTTTATCCACAAGTGTCTAATAAATATGAGAATAATAAGGAGCAGTTAATAATAATTATACCTGAAATTCATAAGCACTTTTTATAAGTGCTTTGCATATTAAGTAACATAATCCCACAATTTAAATTCTTGATAGTGGGTTTTAAAGGATGCTTCTATGCTGACATGGCTGGCGCCTCTAAAGGCAATCCAACTAAATGTTATTACTACAAATAAAAAAATAAAATGTTTTAAATACGTCAACATTTAAGATTGTTGGTTTTGTTTTTTGTTTTTCTTTTTGCGACATTACTGGATTTTTGTGGCGGTACCTACTGGAACCCCATGCCTTGGTGGATACAAAATAAGAAACAACATGAACTGTTTCATAGGAGGTTAAAGTAGCTTATTGGTGTTTGGCCTCTGGGCGAGGATGAGGTGTTTATTTGTGTGCTCATGAAGCTGGATTTTTTTTTCTTGAAACTTTGGAGTATTAGCTCTGGCTAACTTGTCTACATATTTATTAATTGTGCCTGGCATATGGTAGGCATTCATTAAATATGTGTTAAGTGACCAAAGTAAATTGTTTTATTCGGTGTTTTCCTTGGAGTTTCCAGGATTTTTCTGGTGTCTTGCTCCTGGCTCTTTCCTGTGGTATATTGTTTGCCTTATCTCCCTTACATTTAACAGGATCTTTAAAAAAAAGTATGCATCTTAAAACTCCAATGTAAGCTGTAATTATAATACAACACAAATAAATTAATTTAAAATACTCAAAATAATTAGCTATTTTAAAGTAAAAGCAAAAGCTAATTATTTAGATTCGGGGTGGATGGATTACTTAATGGTACATAATTGTCATTTAAAATTTGTGTCATGTAACAGTGGTTACATTACAAAACATAGACTGAGGATTTTAACTGGCATTATTAAACAAACCATACTTTATTGCCAGTCAGATGTACCATGTTTATTTTTCTAACTAAAGGAAGAAATTTTAAAACCTGGTTCTATATATTATAAACCATGAACCAGGACTTTGTCATGGGAGGGATTTGGGGGCTTTGGCTTCCCAAAATCTGTCACATCCCACCCCACCCCCAACAAGTATACAAACATGTACTTATCATAATTACAGCTTTCAGTAAGTCCCCTTTTACCCACATTGGCACCCTGACCCACCCCCCCTCCTTGGAAACTTTGTATCTGCATTTTTAAAGAGGTTCAAGCAGTGGTAAAAACATGTGCATATTAATGAACTTGCATTTCACAAAAGTACACATAGTACTCAAAAAGATATTTGGAAACGTAAAGCAATTAAGAATTGCTTAATGAAGTGTCATTTCCTAACAGAATGTTTAATGTACAGCGGTTTTTGGTGTGTTTGGGGAATAAACATTTTTAGAGGTCATCCTGAAGAGGCAAAGATTAAACAAACGTACGTATTTCTAAAAAGACTAACACGAAACTCTTTTTCGTATGTAAAAATGTCACCTGTCCCAGGTGACTTGGCTTTATGCTGGGTGTCCTTTCAGGTTTTAGCAATGGGGCCTCTTGACCCCCGTCTCCCAATCTGGCCCCCATATTAAGGGGGCATTTAAGGAGCTATGGATCTGTAATTCAAACCCAGTCCCAATGCTCCTGTTCCCTTATTAATCTGTGCTCCAGTTGCTGTTAAAATGTTTTAAAACTTTCTTTACAATGGAAGTTAACCTACCTGCTCACTACCCTATCATCTTTTCTAAGACTTCGAGTCCCACTCCAAAATTACAGTGCCTGAGAGTGGGGGCTGAGGCCTGATATTGGTAAAGGTCAGGGGTCACAAGCTGGTGACCAAATAAGGCCCTGAATTTGTTTGACCAGCACTGGATTTAAAGTTTTTTAAAGAATTGAGTGTATTTGGGAGGGGAAGCATGTATCCCCCCAGTTACATAGCTGCAGCCCCTCCCTATTGTCTGAACTTCAGGTCTCTTCTCGCTTTTCTGTTATCTTCTGTCTACTAAAAACTTGAATTTTAAACCCTTATTGATCTTGTTTCCCTAAACAATTCAGTGATTATTTGCTAATTTCCTAATGTGTTGTTATTTCTGACCTACCATTGTGTTTTGCAGATATTAAAACCATCAGACCTGGGCCTCACTCAATAAAGCCAACTCACTCCAGTGACTGTGATTGACATGTAGGTTAACCTCTCTGACCTGGGTCAGTCTGCACCAGGCCTTTTCAGAAGTCTGTATTTTCACACTCTTAATATCTAGATGACAGAAATGGCACCTGAGTCACCTGACCTGTGCTTATTGGTTTTTTAATGGGGCAATAAAGCTCTTTATTCCTTAAATTTAATAAACAAACATTACATTATTTGGTGACCTTGTATTCTGAGTGTCACCAATACAATTGTCTTTAAGGTGTTGGAAGTGAAACTAAATATCAAACTAAGGTGTGTTAATTGCATCTTCTACTTTTTTAAAACTTAAATATTTTATCTTGAAGGTCATTTATTCATTATTTTTATAGCCTAAGTTCTTAAGGTAATTAAATAGAACGTTAAAACTATTAAAATGGCACAGTAAATCTGTCCCTTAAGGACTCTGCTTGCTGTATAGCCACTCCTTAGAGAGGCCACACCCACAGCAAAGGGCACAGGGCATATAGGGTGGCAGTTTTCCAAAAATGAGAATTTAATGATCATTAAAAAAAATTGAAAAGTTAAAATAATTTAATTACTCTACATATTTACCCTTGTATTCAGGAAGAATATAGGCACTGCGTGATGATTTATTGTATGTGTGATTTATTGTCACCATACACATAATTAGTACGTTTAGTCTCTTCTCTCTCATACCCCTACCCCCACACCAGTGAACCTGAGGAATTCAGCCCTATCCCACTCTCAATTACAAACTTTCGAGTAGGGCTGCACTGGTAACTCGTTTTTAAAAAGTAGGGGTTGCAAACTGGTGACCTGCAAATCAAATGAGACCCTGGATTTGTCTGACCAACACAATATTTTTAAAAAATATTATCTTTAGGTGGGAAATGCATGCCCAGATCATCATAGTTGCATATCCTCCCTCTTTTAATTCCAACCTCTTTACATAGAAAGTAAACGTTTCTGCTTTATTAGTAACTTCATTAATATCAGCTAACAGTTATTGAAAACTCACTATGTGCTTTACCTGCATTATTTAATTCCATCATTATTCTAAGTTTGAGGTGTAGTATTATTGGGATATATATATATAT